TTATAAAAATATAATAAATAAAAATAGTAATTAGCTCTGTTAAATTTAATAATTGTAAACAAAGAAGGGCTATAAGAGCTATTAAACATAACACAGTTGTCAGATGATATTAATAAAATTTATTTAAACGAATTAATAAATACATAAGAAATAAACATTTATGCGAACGTTTCGGCTGACATTTCAAGCCTTCTTCAGCGCAATATAAATATTTTAATTATAAATTGAAATGTAATATTAAACATTAAAAACGGTAATTAACAATGTCAAGATAATAAATATATAAAGTCAGTTTTTTGTCTCGTTACATATGTTGCTAAACAAGTCATGTTACTGATACATACTGAGTTCGAGCGACCGTACCATGCAATCACTTATGAGTATAGACTTCCTGATTTACTGGTCAAGGGAAATATCTTGATTGAATCTTCATAATGAAATGTTGTTAAACATTAAATTGAGATCTAAATAAACAATATCCGATTATTCATTATAATCTTACAAATAAAATGCACTGCACACTCACTCAAACAAATTGGTGATTATTTTACAGAAGTTTCAAGTATCAGATCCAACATTTTTTAAACAAAGTTTTTTACTGAAGACAAACAGAACGTTTAACCGTCACAACTCTCAGATCTCAAATGAGACAGTAACTCAGTGTTTAACCTTTTTTATATATATCAAGGTTTGTTTATAAACCCTGATAATTTTGGCAGAGACTCTATAATGTTATTATATATATCAGGCAAAAATTCAGTATCATTTTGTAGATTCAATCCATTAGGTTGTCTTTTTATATATAACATTTCCAATATAAGTCTTTTATTATAATACGGTTCTTTATCTAAAATTTTTACTTCACCCCAGTCAAAATCATGGGAGAACTCTAATCTATTATCAGTAACAACTGATTTATTAAAACACTTTCTGTTGATGTGTTTTTTATGTAGGTGAAAACTTTGTATGTGGTAAGAGATGGCGACCCGGAATTCAAACGCCCGGTGGCATGGCACCGTAAGGAGAAGGGACTGCACGGCGCTTCGGCGCTTCCCTTTCCACCATGCTTTGTGGCCCAGCACATTTGCTGGGTAGACGGCTTCCGCCGTCCGGGGTTCTGTCTTTGTCCTGGGGGGGCTTTTTCGGGGTTTTTCCTGGGGGAGTTTCCCCCGGGGTTTAGGGTGGGGCTCTGGCGGCGGGGGCCGCAGGGGAGGGATGTGCCGCGCGTGATTACCCGGGGGGCCTTGCCCGGAGGATTTCCCAAAGGACTTTGCTCGAAGGGGGTCACGCCGGCGGAGGGATCGACATGGTCACCCGAGGGGCTTTGCCCGGAGGGGGCCATGTCGATCGGTTCTCGGGGCCTACTCGTGGAGTGGTTCCCGGGGACAGGGGGGTGCCTCAGGGTGCTGATGGAGAGCCTGGCTCTTGTCCTGGGGTAGGCCGCACCTAGGCCGCTCGGACGTTTCCGAGGCAGGGCTGGGTCGGCGGAGGCGGCCACGCGTGGTTACCCAAGGGGCATAGCCCGGAGGGTTTACCCAAGGGGCACTGCCCGGAGGGGACCACGCGGGTCGGCCGTCGAGGCCGCTCGGACATATTCCGAGGCGGGGCTCGACGGCGAGTGGGACGTCGCAGGGTGCTGGTCGGAGAGCGTGCTCTCGTCCCAGCGTCCCTGCGACTAGCCATTCTCGGGCCGCTCGGACGTTTCCGAATCCGGGCCGAGGATGGCGGAGAAGGCGCGCCGCGGTTACCCAAGGGGCATAGCCCGGAGGGGTTACCCAAGGGGCATAGCCCGGAGGGTGCCGCGGCCGCCTGTCGCCGGGGCCGCTCGGATTTCCGAGGATGATATCCCCGGTTGGTCGGGACCGTTACCCTTTCCGAACCGACTGACCGGAAAGGCGCATGCCCCTCGTCAAACATCTTCGACGAGGGGCGACACGGTATGCTGGTCGCCACGGCGTGTAGGGCAGGGCCGGGGAGCGGCGACCCTGTTCAAAGCGTCCGTGGGGCCCCCTGGGTGGCGCCACCTCCAGCGGTGCCCGCACTGTCGGAGGTGCGGGACCCCCGAAAAACCCGTGCGTAGTGTATGCTCCGCACGGTAGAGTAAGGGGCTGGAGTCGGGCAGGGGGGGGTCTTTATCTCCTTTGGTTTCGGCATAAGTGGGCTCCCGGTGAGTCCACCGGGCCCGGCCGGCGGAGTGTGCCGATCACGTTTCGGGCACTTCGTTGGTTGGTGGGAGATGCGCCGGCCCACTGGGGGGGGGGAATGGGATTACTCAAAATAAAAGACACGAATATCAACACAAAACAAAAAAAGGAAAGTGCTAAGACAGAGGGCGGACCTCAGGTCCACAAAAATGAAGATTCCTCCAAAAAACTGGAGAATTACCTATGGAAGGGCGAACATTTCCGACAAGTCTCGATACCCATACCGAGATGTGACTCGGACGGAAGCATACGGTCGGACCGCTCAACGCTGAGTCAGAGAGGTAAAAGGAAATCTGCCAGAGCAACGAGGGCCACACTGGACATTGCCCGTGAGAGCAAGAAAGTCGCACGGAGTGCACTGTACAATACGAGGAGAGGAATTCCAGGCATGGAACTAGAGGGGGAGACTGACGGCGAAACCGAGGCGGAGATCGTCAGTATGACAAGTGAAGAGGAGAACACAGCAGCCGAAGATCCCGGAACAGCGAACGTTTTTAATGCGGGTGATTTTCCTGCCCTTCCCGGTATAGTGCATGCTGTATAGAAGGGTGGGACGGAACCAGTGGTCGACAATTCTTGTGTCTTGACGGGGATAATCAAAACGGAGAAGAGAGGAAGACCCCCAAAGGATCCTGTAAAATGAGGAGAGAAAGGCAGCGATCCAAATCAAGGCCTTAGAGGCGGAGAGACAGAAGGAATTAGAAATACTAAGTCCTCTGTACAAACCGATAGAAGGAAAATCCTTTGATCGCTTCAGAGAGATGATTCATCTCAAACGCGAGGAGTTCAGCGATAGATCCTCAATTAATATCGAGGCAGAGATCGCTGAGCATACGGAAGCGATTTATAAAATAGCGGTCAGTTTCAAGAACCTGAAAGGGGGATACACTAAGGAACTATAGGCGTCAGCTGCGGCAATGGGTGCAGCAGTCACAGAACTGGCTCTCCGAACCAGCCAAAAAGAGGGCGGGAAAAGAGACTCTGAGCTCGCCGAAATTAAAATAAGACCAGCGAACTTAGAAATGGAGTATAACAGGCTCAAAAGAGAGAACGAAGAGCTGAAAAAAAGGAAGGCAAGATACAGCAAGGAGAGATCCACAACTTTCTGGGGAGATGTTTCCCGGGGAGAGAAGCTTCGGAGACGCCTCTACCATTCGAGGAAGGGACATCCGAAGGGGAGGAAAAAAGGACAGACCACGTAGTCCCAGGAAGGGAAGAAAAGGAACTCCACATCCATCCAGAGATGGGGAGGTCCCTAAAAGGCAGGAAGGAGTCTTACTTCCATCCAAAGATGGGGAGACCCCAGAAAAAGGAAGGAGCAGGGAGATGGAAGGCTCACTTCCACCACATAAGGGTGGGGAACCCTCCACCTCCCAAGGAAAGGAAAAGGAATCAGAATTGATGGAGGTGGAGATAGAGGTGGGCAACTCCCCTCCCTTTAACGATGAAAATTTCTCTGCCTCAGAGCAGAAGAAAAAGAAAAATAGGAAAGGAAAGAACACCCATCCCATCCTAGAGGAGAATGTGGAGAGGACATACAACCCACAACCACTCCAGATGACGAAAAAGGGACTCTCGATAAAAGTATCGAGGGTCTCTTCACATTAATGGAATCGCTGCAATCCCAAGTTAAATCTATGCAGGAAAGCAGCGTTCCAAAAATAGAGGGACTAATCGAGAAAATTCTCGATAAAAGAATGGGGGATACCCACGAAGAACTCAAATATAAGAGAGCTTCTTCAGTGGGGAAAAATCTTCAAAAACTAGCTTGACAGGAGGCCACTCCGGCTACAGCAGGTAAGGAAAAGGGGATTAAGGTCACCAAAGTGACGACCCTTAACCCCCCAGCCAACACAGGCAAGTCTGCCGCGGCAGCGGCAAACAAAAAGAAGGGGAAACAGCAACAACAACAACAACCGCCTAAACAGGCGAACGCTGTAGTGCGACAGACTGTTCCAACGACCGCGGTGGTTCGGGACCCACATGACAATGAACAATGGACCACCGTGGTCAAGAGGAAGAAGAAGGAAGGAGACGCAAAAAACGGAGGAGGGAAAGACTCGCCAGGACATGAATAAAGGTCGGAACCAACCCAACCGATCTCAAACTGGCCAAGGCAAAACAAAGCCGGCAAAGAAGAAAAAGCCGCGCACAGCGGCTATTATGCTCACGTGTCCGGAGGGCAAGTATGCCGAGATAATGAGGGAAGCGCGAACCAAGATAGAGCCTCAAGATCTCGGCATTGAGAAAATAAACATGAGAAGGTCAGTGACGGATTGTTGTTGCTGTTTCCCCTTCTTTTTGTTTGCCGCTGCCGCGGCAGACTTGCCTGTGTTGGCTGGGGGGGTTAAGGGTCGTCACTTTGGTGACCTTAATCTCCTTTTCCTTACCTGCTGTAGCCGGAGTGGCCTCCTGTCGAGCTAGTTTTTAAAGATTTTTCCCCACTGAAGAAGCTCTCTTATATTTGAGTTCTTCGTGGGTATCCCCCATTCTTTTATCGAGAATTTTCTCGATTAGTCCCTCTATTTTTGGAACGCTGCTTTCCTGCATAGATTTAACTTGGGATTGCAGCGATTCCATTAATGTGAAGAGACCCTCGATACTTCTATCGAGAGTCCCTTTTTTCGTCATCTGGAGTGGTTGTGGGTTGTATGTCCTCTCCACATTCTCCTCTAGAATGGGATGGTATATGAAATACCAGGCGAAAGGAAGGGAGAACTCGCAGACAAACTTGCCGTAAAGTTGCGAGAAGTCCTTAAGGGAAAGGATGGAGTCCGAATAAGCCGTCCAGTAAAGATGGCTGAAGTTCGACTAACAGGGCTGGAGAAGTCCATCACACTGGCGGAGGTGGTGGAAGCAATTGTTGCCTTTGGCAAGTGCGAGCAGGAAAAGATTCAGACGGGAGATATTAAGATCTCCCCGAATGGATTAGGGTCCCTTTGGGCCAGATGCCCTCTTGTTGCTGCCAATCGCCTCATGGCGGACAACGGGGGGCGCATTAAAATAGGGTGGGGACATGTTCAAGTAACACTGCTAGAGGAGAGGCCTCTGCAGTGCTACAAGTGCCTGGAGGGAGAACACGTCAGGCAACGTTGCCCCAATCGCGCCGATCGGAGCAATCAATGCTACCGTTATGGCCGAGAGGGGCACGTGGCCAAAGAGTGTAAAGAGGACTTCAACTGCCCGGTGTGTAGGAACAGAGGCCTTCCCGCAAAACACCGGACGGGAAGCAAGGCCTGCACACCGGTGCAGAAAGGAGTCAGAGGGGTGGCGCTAAATAGACTGGTCGAAAAAAAATAGTTATCCAAGCAACCCACTCCAAGGAGGAAGGAGACTCTCGTAGAGGAGCGGAAAGATAGAGAGGAAAAGGAGGGAGAAGGTCAGGAGACAGCATTATGGGCGAGGGAGGGATATGTCGGCGTCTCCTGGGGGCAATTGATGGTGGCTGGCATCTACATTTCACTCAATGCCGCGTCAAGCGGTAAGGATAGAGCACGACGCTTGGAAGAGAAGGAGGGAGTAAAGGAATCGGGGACGAAGAGGAGGAAATTAAGGAAGGAACATGGGGGGAGCGAGGCAGACGATGAGGATGACGGAATGATAATCGAACGAGAGGGAAAGCCAAAGAAAAAATCACCATGAATAAAGTGATACTGGCTAATGTAAATCACTCCGGGCCCGCACAAGAGATGATCTTGCAGCATATGTGCGAGCTTGACTGCAAGCTCGGGGTGTCCACGGAGGCATATAATGCTCTGAAAAGGGCAAACTGGGCAACCAGCACCGATGGAAAAGTAGCCGTCTATAGACGTGAGACCAGGACCTCCCTGCCATGTAATGTATTATGGGCGAGGGAGGGATATGTCGGCGTCTCCTGGGGGCAATTGATGGTGGCTGGCATCTACATTTCACTCAATGTCGCGGCCGCGGAGTACGAGGCCAAATTAGAGGCCCTGTCGCGCAACTTGAGTGGGTGCCAGACACCATCAAATGTAATAGTCCTGGGGGACATCAACGCCCATTCGGGCGTTTGGGGTTCCCTCAGAGAGGACTGGAAAGGAAGGGCAGTCCTGACCTGGGCGTCGCAGCAAAACCTCGTGTTGATCAACACGGGGAATAGCCACACCTGTGTGAGGCCGCAGGGGAGGTCTATAATAGACCTAACATGGGCAAACTCCTCTGCGGCCGGACTAATTAAGGGTGGAAAATGAAGACGGAGAGGGAAACACTATCCAATCACAGGTGTATAACCTTCTCCATCTCCGCCTATAAGCAGGAAGTGTTGCGGCGCCGCAGAGCCCTGGACGATCTTCAAAGAAGATGGGCCCTCAAAAAAATAGACGTCGACCGATGGATGGCTGCTATCATCGGTGCTGGTGCAACAATGGAGGGGTTCGATGGGTGGGATCTGGCCACGCAACAAGAAAGACTGTCGCAGGCCGTTGTACAGGCCTGCGATATAGTCATGCCAAGGGTCAGGTTCCGCCCATCGAAATGTATGTACTGGTGGTCAGAGAAGATAGCGGAGCTGCGACGGGCTTCTGACCACCAAAGAAGGAGGCTCCGTAGGAATCCCACGGACCCAAATTATAAGGAAGGATGGAGGGCGTACCGAGCCGCACGGGACGCCCTTCGTATCGCGATAAGAAACGCGAGGGCGAGGTCCTGGGAGGAGCTTCTCCTTTCCCTAGATAGAGATCCGTGGGGACGTCCGTACCGCATGGTTTTGAAGAAACTTAAAGGAGCGGCGTCCCCCCTGACGGAGTCCTTGGACCCTCATTTTGTCAAACAAATAGTGGATATCTTCTTCCCGGTCATGCACGCGAGCATGCACCCCATGTGTGATAGGGAGTTTGACTGGGAGGAGGAGGAAATGGGGGTCACGGGAGAGGAGCTCAGGGGCGCCATCAAAGGGATAAAGAACGGAAAAGCTTCCGGTCCCGATGGCGTCCATGAAAAGCTGTGGGGCCTCGCCCATAAGGAATTAGGAAAGGAGATGAGACAGCTGTACAATAGCTGCCTCAAAGAGGGAAAATTCCCCTCAGTCTGGAAGAGGGCCAAATTGGTCCTTCTTCCAAAGGAGAGAAAGCCGAAGGACCAACCCTCCGCCTACAGGCCGATTTGCTTGCTCGATGAGGCCGGGAAGATCCTCGAAAGGATAATTCACCGCCGCCTCGTCGGGCACCTGTCCCGGAGTAGATCCACAGATCTGCACGAAGAGCAGTATGGCTTCCGCGCCGGGCGGTCGACAATAGACGCGATCAGTCGCGTCCGCTCGGAAGCGGAGGCCACTATGGAGGAGGGTGGGGTGTTGTTGGCGGTATCGTTGGATATCTCCAACGCTTTCAACACCCTACTCTGGCACCGGATATCCGAGGCGCTCGACATACACGAGCCTGGATACCTGGCTGCCATTATAGTGGATTACTTCCGGGACAGGACGATAACATACATCGATAGAGAGGCAAATGTATGCGAGAGGGCAATGTACTGCGGGGTTCCGCAGGGATCAGTACTCGGTCCTCTACTGTGGAATCTCACATACAACTCGGTCCTTCGGACCAACCTCCCCCCGGCTGTAAAGCTGTCTGTTACGCGGATGATACGCTGATATTGGCCGGGGGAAAAGACTGGGGGGAAGCAAAGGCGTTGGCGGAGGTAGCTGTGGGACGGGTCGTGCGCTGCATCAAGGAATTAGGACTGAGGGTGGCGCCCCAGAAGACGGAGACTGTTTACTTTTATAATGGGCGTAAAGGGGCGCCACCCAGGACGGAATTAATGATAGAGGGAACCCCTGTCTTGGTGGAGGCACAGATAAAGTATCTGGGCCTCTACCTGGATGAAAAGTGGACCTTCCGCGAGCACTTCAACCGGATCGCCCCGAGAGTAGAGCGGGCGGCGATATCACTTAGTCGCCTCTTGCCGAACCTCGGGGGGCCGAAGGCGGGTGTTCGCAGGCTGTACGCCGGAACAGTCTACGCGATGGCGCTGTACGGATCCCCAATATGGGCGCGAAAATGGAGGTCACCCGCAAACTACGAGACACTATGTATCAAGTTCAAAAGCGGGTGACAAACCGCGTGTGCCGGGGATACCGTACAGTGAGCTGGACGGCCGTGGGGGTAATAGCAGGAATTCCCCCCCCCCCTTTTTTTGTAACTCTGGGGAAATCTCATGGTACCGTCCGCCTCCGGGTAGAGGCGGGGGTTATGTGGGACTCCCTGCCCCGCCTGGCCGGCCCGCACATCCGCCTGGCCGGTCCGCCGTAGCGGGCCGGAGAGTCGGGATCGGCGAGCCGGGACAGGACCTACCGCACTAAAACCCCAGAGGATGTCCTTCACGGGCGTTATACAGGGGACGGCCAGGATGCTGGTATCCCATACCGACTGGCCGCCCCCCCGTCTTATCCCTCCTTGGGAGGATGCCGCGGAAGGCGACACTCTCCCCCCGTCATTGTACGGGTTCTTCGCGGTTGCGGCGCAGGGCGACATCGACCCCACGCCGCGCCCTCTCAGAGTTTGAGGAGCGGAGCCATGGCTCGAGAACTCCCGCTCGAGCCATCGCCCCTCGCCCTCCCCCCTGTCGCAACCCCCGGACCCCCAAGAGGGTGGTCCGGTTCGGCGGTTCACTGAGGGGCCCTCATCAGGAGGTTCCTCTCAGAAGGAGAGAAACCCCCTTCCGTGGACGGAGTTGCCCTCCCACCGGTGCCTTATGGCTCCCGGTGAGAGGGCCCCACACGTCACGTCTCCGTCCTTGAGAGGGGCCCAGGCGCCCCGGACGGGAGGGCAATGCCCCGCCCGCCAGGGACACGTGGCCCCCTCTCATTCATGCCCCCCCCGGTTGCGACCTCCCTCCGCCCCGTTAGGGGTCAGAGTTCACCCGCAACCGGTGGGGCCTCTCCTTCCCGGAGGGCGTGGGGGGGAGGGGAGCGCCTAGGCGCTCCCATGTCCCCCCTGACACCCTTATCCGGCATCAATCGATGATGCCGGTATGTGGTGAGCCCCCCGACCCCCGCCACCGCCGACAGCCGCGCCCTTGGGCACGACCGCCGACGACAACGGGGAGGGGGGAGGCACGCCCCTCTTCTTGACTCCGCCGGAGGTGCCGTAAGGCACCCCGACCTCCCGAGTCGGTGCCTGGCCGGCCGTCGAAAGTCCACACAAAGTGGACACCTCAGGCCGGACAGGCACTCCACCTCCTTGTGGCCAGGAGAGCCGCAGCGGTAGCAGCGGCTACCCCTGTCCACCGCCGAAGTGCACCGGCGCCATGTGTGACCAACACACAGGCATCGGTAGCACCTCGGCGCCCCCATAACGTTGGCGACGGTCACACACGCCGCCAACCACCTCTCCCCCTTTGCCGCCTCTTGCGGCCGCAACCCTCCCCTTTTACTCCCCTCCCCCCTTTTCTTTCTCCTCTTTACCACCCTGACCCACTCCCCATCAGTGGTGGTACTCCCCCTTTTTCCTCTCCACTTGTCCCCATCTCCATTGCAGAGACGTCCGCCCCCGACGTCTCCGCCTCCCCCATCTCCCTGTAATCCCCCCGAGCCCCCCCGAGTCTTCCTCGCTTGGCCGGACTCCACCTCCTTGAGGCGCCTCTCCACCAGGCTCAGCCGTCCAAATTGGTTGCCAGCCTCGAGGATATTTCCCCGAGTCTGGCCCCCAATTCCCCCAGCAAAGGAGCCCCCTCCTTGTGCGCCTCCTTCTTTCTCCCTCCTTCCGTCATGGTCCCCTGATCGCGGAACTCCTTTCCGCGATCAGGGGCCGCATGTCCCCCATTGTGCCCTTCGGACCGGTCGAGCTCCCTCTGTGCAAGGTCAGAAATGACCAGCACGAGTTCCTTCGCCCGGCTCAGGACAGAGTTGACGTAGGCGGGCACCTGACCCGCCACCGGCCTTCCCTCCCCGGTACACCGCAAGAAGTCGTCAAGGAACGACCTCGCGTCCTCCATCATCCCCTTCATTTCTTCCATTGATTGAAGAAAATCCCCGCATGGGAGCCTCGGCTTTCGCCGCCTCCCACACCGGAGCAACATCCTCCCACTCGAGACCCGGTAGTATCGCTATCGGTCTCATTTTGTCCGAGTTCTGAGGCTCCACCTCCATTGGAGCCCCAGATCTCGCTCCCCCTCTGTCTTACGTTCGTCGTCTAATGACGACGGGGTGGGGGCAGGGACTATACCCCTCTCCCCGCCGGGCCCTGGGGCATCCGAAACCCCTGGGCCGGTACGCTTCTTATTTGAAGTTCGTCCTCGCATGTTTATTTTTTGGTCTTTTTTAACCTGGTGACCGTCCAGGG